GGGCATTGTGGGATGTTTAGCATCCAGGCCTCCATCCACCACATACCAGTAGCACCCCTCCAGTTGTGAAAGCTAAAAATGTCTCAGTACGTTGCCACATGTGCGCTGGGGGTGAATTTGCCCCTGGCTGAGAACAACTGCTCTAGGGGATGTGTAGGAAATGTGTAATATGTCTGAGGAAGTAAGATTGATTTAACCCGGTTCCCCAAGCTTATTTGACCATGGAGACATTTTTTTTTCTCTAACTCTCTTTGGCTCTATTTCACAGAACTTCTTCGGGAAATGCTGAGTTTATAACTGGGGCCCTCTTTCTTCATGTTTCATGGAGGTAGGAGGTTGCACAAGCCAAATGGCACTCCAGGTCTCCCTGTCACCTCCTTCCCATCTGTCAACCTCCCTGGACAAGGCTGAGGCTCCTTGAGGTCCAGCTTTGTGAGGACCCACTCTCTGGGGAGTTAGTTGTGACTTTAGGAAACATTCCCAGGGTCCCAGGGAGGGGTCTGCAGAATGCCATTCAACGTGGAGAGTCAGTCTTTTCCCCTTGGCTGTGAACCTGCCCTGCAGGCAAAGATATTGCTCTAACCACCAGGCACACTGCCCTGGGGATACACCTCTGCCTGTGGCGGCCCACTGGAGCCCCTGCACTGTTTGACAAAGATCCCACAAGATTCAGGGACTTCCCTGGTGGTCCAGTGGTTAAGACTCCGTGCTCCCAAAGCAGGGGGCCTAGGTTCCATCCCTGGTCAGGGAACTAGATCCTGCATACCGCAGCTAAGACCTGGTACAGCCAAATAAACAAATAAATAGTAAAAAAAAAAAAAAAAAAAAAAAAGATTCAGGCTCAAGAATGGCTAGTCTCCAATATGTGGGCCCAGTCTCCCAGTCTGTATTCCCCACACGTCCACCACGTCAAGGCCCAAGGAATGCCCTGGACACAAGGCCAAGTCTGCCCCAACCCAGGAAATACCCTCATCACCGTGATGCTGGATGGGGTCACAGGCCCTAGAAGGGTGGGGCCGCTGCCCACTGGCCTTACCTCTGGGAAGGAGATTTTGGAGCTGCTGCAGGCTGGGAAAAGGAGCGTGGGGAAGCAGGTGTCCTTGGCAGCTCAGCTGCCCGTTCTGGAGGCTTCTGTGATCCAGCAGTTTTCCCATACGGATGGCTCTGCTCCTGCATGCAGCTTCACATTTGGAGCTCACTCACGTGGCTTAGAGTGTCTCTCGCTGACCTTGGGAAACCGGGACTATGGAAATATAATAGTGTCAGGGTTAGACAAACCTGTGTTTGATCTCGGTCGCACCACTTAACGGTGGAGTGATCTTGGCCAGGTCACCCTTATTTCGGAACTTTAATTTCATCATCCATGTAGATTTTTAAAAAGCACTTTTCCTGCTCCTACATTTGATAATTCTAGATTTTAGGCACTAACAGGTGGCCCCTGGGTGAGTCTCACTGAAGCCTTCCTGAGAGTTTAGGGACTCATGTTCTGGACCACAAGGTGCATCTTCATGGGGCAGGGGAGACAACGGGAATGAAAAAACAAAGGCTTAAAAATGCCTTGGATCCCAACCAGCCAGAGGATGCGCGAATGGAAAATTCCTGCTGTGTGTCAGAGGCCCACCTGGCCCGGGTGACAGCCAGCGAGCCAGACACACAGGCCCCACTGCGTGTTTAGACAGCACTTTTCCTGCCCTGGCCAGAGTTCACCCTGCCCCCCACCAATGCTCATCCTGGGGAGTGGGGAGGGGCGGGGGTCCTCACCCAGGCCCAGGAAGGCTTCCTGTGTATTAATATCTGAGCAGGGGCTGGGGAGTGGTAGCGTGAGCTGTAATAGGAAGAATGAGCAACAGGAAGCCCGGGCTTGGCCCCAGTCTGCCCTGAACCCATCTCTGTGACCTAGTCCAGGACGCAGGGTCCTCATCTGTGTGGTGTGTGGGTTGGACAGGGAGGTCTGCAGCGTCTTCATCAGCCCTGACATTCCACTGGCGGAGGCCTACGTTGTCTCAGAGATTCCACATCTGCCTTGGGAGAGGCCAAGCCCCTTTCAGGGGCAGGATCTGGGGGCGACTCTCGGAAGCTTCCCTCAGCCTTATGCTCACCATCTGAGCTTAAGGAAGTCAGCCAAGCCATTGTCGGGAGCTGTGGGATAGCCAACTTTGCCAGCACTCTCAGTGCCCACCGAGGCTTGCAGGTGATCCCTGGGGGGCAGGCTCTGGGTGAGTGTAGTGAAATGGACTCACTCCACCCAAAGATGGGGGCCAAAGGGGTGGGGGTGATGGACCCGGGGGGGGGGGGCAAGAGGAGCCCTGAGCCAAGGGGGCAGTGATTGTCCAACACCATGTGGGGGAGAGGCCCTGAATCTGGAAACGCTCCGGGGACCAGGCCCCATGCTCTAGTGTGGCCCGGGAAGGTCATTGGGCTGCACCATGGCTAGGACGTAGTGGCCCTCAGACTTTGCACACATCCCACGCTCATAGCCTCAGCTGTATAGGGGTCCAGGGCCAAGCTGGGACAGCCAAGTGCAGGTGGGGGCATTCAGAGCCCACATTACGGTTGAACACATTGGCCAAGGCTGACCTGCATGTTCCTGACTCTTGGGATTTTGATTGGCAAGTTGGGTCTATGGGTTGGATTAGTTCTGAGAGCCTGACAAGGCCTGGTCGGGGATAATGGTTAATTCATCAGGGTCATGCCACCTGGGAGGTCCCTTGGTCAATGCAACTTGGTCTACTGGACACCCTCCCTTGAATTATCTCTTCTTAGCTCAGGTTCCCACAGAGAGAAAATCCCTCTCATTGCCTTTTACCTCTCCCCTGGATGCCAAGAAAATGTGACACATTTCCACCCAAGGACACCACTGCTTCTGAACTCTGCCCATCCCTAGCCTGTCTCTGCCCAGTCCCCCCTTCAGGCAAATACTTAAAGGAAAGTACTGGAATGACACCACAGACGAGTCAGAGCAAGGACAACCCTGGCCCAGACAACGAGTCACTCTGCCTAGCTGCTTGTACCAGCCCACTGGAGAGGGCTTCCAGGCCTCATCCTGGCCTACCATTCCCCTCCTTCCCTCCATCCTTCTGTCTAAGGCCAGAGCTGAGCTCCCCTAGTCACTCAGAAGGAATGGTCTCTTTCTCAGATCCTAAGTCAGCCCCTCAGCACCAGGGCACACCTGCCCTCTCTGAAGCCCCAGCTGCCGGCGCTGCCAGAGACTTACTCCAGGGAAGCTGCCTGCACCTAACCCCCGCCCTACCCCAGGTCAGTTTCACGACCCCTTCCACTCAGGAAATCGCTTCTCCTATGTTTTGTTTCCTCCAGCCTGTGTTTTTTCCCCTCTGATTCCTTATACGTGCTCCCAGTGATTCGGGTCACCCAGAAATCTCTTTCTTGCCTCTTGTGGGACCAGAGTCCACATCACAACGTGCATCTCTGAAATTCAAGGACGCTCCAGGGTGGAAATAGATAGGAGTGCGTACACACATGTGCGTGTGCGTGTGTGCGCGCGTGTGTGTGCGTGCGTGCGTGTGTGCGTGTGTGCGTGTGTGTGAATGCACATGATTTGGGCATAAGTTTGGTCTGCACAGAGTACAATGTCTTCCTCTTACAAAGGTGATGATAGACTGCTCCCTCCTTCCACATCAGCCAGGCCAGGTGAGGGCAGGTTCTGAGAGGTCAGCTGACCTCCCTTCTGGGTCATGCCACAGAGCAGGGCATGGTTTCCAGGAGTCTGAGCCCCGCCTCAGATCTCTTTCCACCCCGCGCTGCTTGGGTGCTAAGAGAGGGAGGTGTGAGCCCAAATATCGTTAGTGAGGGGTGGCGTTGGAAGGCAGCTTGACCCTGGGGAGGGGTCTGGGCTCAGTGGAGTGTGGGATGATGTGTGGAAATGATCACCAGGGGAGTCACTCACTTTTCCAGATTTTTCCTTTGGTCCCACAGCTCAGGATGCATCCTGATTTATGAGGCGCAGGATTCCAGCAGCTCTGGGAAGGGTTCTGGTTTCTGCCCAGTCTAAGCTCTGAGGAGAGGCAGAAGGGAGGGCCTGGCACTGGAATGTTAGGAGTTAGGAAGCTGAGGGAGCGGAGCCTGGTAGGACTCAAGCAGGAGCCCGCCGAGGATGGAGGATGCTTCCACCTGCCTTTGGCTACAGACCCTCAAGCCAAAGGTGGAGGAGGTGAGCCCCTAGTCTGGGGGAAGCAGTGTCCTCAGAGCAGATAGGCTCCCTGGATGAGCAGCAACTCCCTGTCGGCTCTCTCGTGGGGCTGGTTGCTTCTGCTCTGAGACCGAGCGGTTCTGTCACAAAGCACAGCAGTGTTTGTCCGAGCCACAGAGAAAAGGTGTGCACTGTGCCTTTGCTTCCATTTAACAGATGAGGAGACTGAGGCCTTAGGTTCAGAGAAGCTAAGTGCTGCCTGGTCTCACAGCTAGAAGGTGGTTGAGCCAGGCTGCAAACTGACACCTTCTAATTCTACGTCCAGTCTCTTTCCATGAGCACAGACATCCCATAGCTGCGCAGAGCACCGGTGTGGCACAAGGGAAGGGGCAGTGAGTATGCAGGCGATCAAGCCCAGCTTCCAATCCCACCCCCTGCTAGTATTGAGTGTGTGAATTGGGGCATGTTGCCAAAGCTCAGTTTTCTCATAAATAAAGCGGATGTAATCGGGGATGCATGGAGCTGGCTCGTTCTAGCTCCCAAAAGCCAATTGTGTGTATTTCTTTTCAATTCCTCATTCAGTCATATGAAGCTGGTTAGCTTGAAAAGGGCCACAGCAGAGTATTTACACCAAAGAAATGAGCAAACCTGCAGGTCAGGTTTTTGCTCCCCAGAGGGCCAGTTGTCATCCCTGGGGACAAGTCTCACCCTACAGGACTAAGGAGTGAATCAGATAGCCTGTCAAGTTCTTACCACCGTATCTGGATTGGATCAAGTACTCACAAATGATCGGCAAAGGTAAAGGTTTTATCTTTTCTTCATCCTTATCATGTTTTATCCCTTTATTCACCAGGAGTGTAATCTGGGCAAGAGGGATTTTCTTCCATCATATCAGTGAAGACATTGAGGCCCCGAGGGACCAGGTGACTGAGCGCAGAGGGGGTAAGAGGTAAGCCTGGATTTGAACCCAGGTATTTATGCTCCTCATTCTGGGCCCTGGTCACTACTCTTGGCTGCCTTCCTGCACCAGACAATTTAAAGTCTCAGAAACATGGGGATCCTAGAGCCAGAAAGAATGTTGGAGATCATCTGTTGACAGTTCAGGTCCCCCATGTCACAGATGAGGAAACGGAGGCCTAGAGAAGGAAGGACCTACCCAAGGTCACTCCACCAGTTATGGCCCACTTGGAATTAGGATCCCAGATCTCTGGATTCCCCATCCAGATCTCTCTCCACTGGACCAAGCTGCCTTGAGACCCCTGAGCTGGGGTGGGATTATCCTACCCAGACAGCATGGCTGATGCCCAGAATGGAGGGAACAGGATGGCTGTTAGGGAGACTGCCATATTTCCATTCCGGGGAGAGGGGATGTAAAAATAATGTTATTTGTTCTGCCTGCACCACCAAGTTATGTGAAACTGTCCTGTACATGCTGAAGGACTTACAAATATAAGTTAGTGACATTATATCAATCAGCAAACATTTATGAACCAGAGGCTCCCACAGGCAGACTTTGGGCCTCTGGGGGCAATAGAGCACTGGCATTGACGGGCCAGGGCTGGACCCAGCTCTGTAATCCCCATGGCCCTGCTCATGTCCTCCTTTCCTCTCTCCCTCTCTCTCTCTCTCCCTCCCTTCCTTCCTTCCTCCCTGCCTCTCTCCCTTCCTTCCTTCCTTTCTCCCTTCCTCTCTCTCTTCTTTCCTTCCTCCCTCCCTCTCTTCCTTCTTTTCATTTAATAAATATTCACAGATTGCTAGCCTTCTGCCAGGGCCCCACTAGGTGCTAGGGAAGCAAAGATGAATAAGGCAAAGTCTTACCCTAAAGCATTTCACAGAAGAGAAAAAGGAAACAAACATGAGATAGAGCCACCAGGAACCCGTCCAAGGGCCAGAGGGGCTCAAGGCGCATTGCGTTGTTCAGTTGTGTGTGTGTATGTGGGAGGGGTTGGTAGGGAGAAAGGACATTTCTTTGCAAAAGAAGCACTGAGGAGGTGTGAAATAGCCTGGAAGTTTCTGGAAATGGCAAACATGGGCTTGGGTTTACAGTATAAGCTTTGGTCTGGAGTCACACAGGCAGAGTTTGGAAGCCTGGCTGTGCTGTGCGCTGTGTCACCTAGGCAAGTTTCCTCATTTGTAAAATGGGATGATAATTTTTACTTCACCGGGTCATTGTGAGGATTCACTGAGATCATTTATTCAGCAAGATATATTCTGGGTGCCTACCACGTGCCAGGCACCTTTCTAGGCTTGAGCGGGCGTAGGGAATAAAATAGGTCAGGTCCCTGCCCTCATGGAGCCTATATTCTAGTGGAAGGGGACGAACAGCGAACAAATACAAACATAGCATGGTGTCAAGTTCCTGTAAGTGACTGAAACTAGTAAAGAAGGTGTTTGGGGGCGGTCCTTGGGGTGCAGCCCCCAAGGTGAGGATTTGTGAATGGTGTGGTCTCAGGGGGAACAGTGGGGGAAGGGAGGACACAGACAAAGTCCCACACGGGCAGCCTCAGCCTGGCCTCTCTGGGGCTCTGGAGTGTAAGCTGTGCTGGGAGGGGTCCCAGCCTAGACGAGGGGGAGATGCTGTGAGCTAGTGTGTGCTTAGGGTAGCGTCTGGTGCACCCCTTAGCCATGGAATGGATGCCCCTGAAGCCTAGTCAGTCTCCGTCTCTGGGCCACCTCGCACACCCTTTGCCACCGTGTGATCTAGAACCACCTGCAGTTTTCCAGAAGCCTCTGCGTCCTCTGACTGCTGGGTACCTCTGCCCCTGCTGTTCCTTCCTGGAATATAACGTCTCCACTGTTGCCCCTGGACAATTCTTAGTCATTCTTCAAGTCTCAGCTCAAATGATGCCTCTATGTCTGGGAAGACTCTGCCGGGCCCTCCTGGGGACTTTCTTCTGCATAACCTCGCGATTGGTCTGGACCACCAGCAAGGCAATAATATTGCTTTAAAATTACCTGTTCATGAGCCTGTCTGCCCACTAGGCTGGGAGCTCCTTGATGACTTGGACAGGTTCTTTTCAGCGCTGGGTCTCCAGAGTTTTGGACACACAGTAAGGCCTCAGGAAACATTTGCTGAGTAAATGAATGACTCTGTCACTGAGTAGCTTTGTGCCTTTTGGTGAGTCAGATAATCTCTCTGAGCCTCAGTTTTCCCATCAGTAATGATAGCTACACCTAAATCATAGTGTTTTTAGGAGGCCAAGTGTGATAATGAATATAAACTCTGAAGTACTATCCAGACGTGTTTTTTTTTTTTTTTTAATAAAAAGGTAGAAGAGAAAAGATCCATTCTGGAGCTCAGCAGTGGCTAAAGGGACCCAAATGGCTACAGAAGACCTTGGGTCAGTCCAGAAGACCTCTGGAGAACATTTCAGTAGGAGAGCTCTGAACAGGTGCCGGGTTTACACCTGCCTTCTCTGACATTTTCTCTGCCACCAGCCAGGACTTGAAGCTCTGGTTCTAGGAAGGAGATTATAACCCCCACGGACCCTCACTCTCCACTTGCAATAACTCAGCAATAACAATACACATCCAAGACATTGGTATTGAGAGGAATGGAAACTTCTTCCTGCAGGTGAAGACCTGAGGAAGGGAATCTTGCTAGTTGGACACAGGACTCGTCTGTGGTCACCATTGCAGGTGAATCTTGTATAGGGATGCCTCAACTCTGTAAACTTTGGTCCAGCCCCCATCCAGTCTCTTCCAGGGCTGTTCTTCTTTTCCTGACTCTCCGAGAAGACTGTCTTCCCTTGCTGGTCTGTTCTGTTCTTACACATCATCTGCCAAGCTTTCCCTCCGTTACCCTGGTCTCCAAGGAACCAGAAACAGGATATTTTCCTCCATTCTCCCCTGGCTCCAAGTCCTCTGGAGTCCTCAGTGTTGTTTCCTCTTTGGTCCCATCTTGATTCCACCCAGGATTTGGGGGCCTTTTTAGTTACATCAGCACATGGAGATGGCCTCCTCATGGAAGAGCTTATGATTCCAGAGTCCCTCCCTCAGCCACAGTACATGGCCTAAAGTCCCCCCCCTTACATATAAGATGGTTATTCATCCTTCAGTGTATCATCATCAAACCACTCCTTAACTCCAGGTGGCCTGGCTTTGCCTTCCCACATTCTGCAAAGCTTTCCCACATTCTGCAAAGCTTTACTTGCTCTCTCTAAGACACCTATGAGCTACTCTTGACCAAGTTAACTAGCAGGTACAGCCCTGTGCCTTCAAGCTTCAAGCCCACTCCCAAGCCATTTAGCCAGTCCCTAGTATAAATGAGTCCTGGTGAAGATCCAATATTGTAGAGAAGTAAATTTTCCCCTAATTAATCTATAAATTAAGTGAAATCCCAATAAAAATTTTAGTAAAAGTTTTAAAAAATAGAATTTTAAAAGCAAATTCTAAGAGTCATCTAGAAGAAAAAAATGAATAAGAAGAGCCAGGAGAATTTTGACACAGTAAGAACAACGTATAAACATTTACTGTAAAGTGGTCAATACAGAGTGATATTGACGTATGAACAGATAATCCAAACAATGGAACAGAGTAAAGAAATAGATCCATGGAAATCTAGCGTATGTGAGAAGGGCATTTTAAATCATTAGGAAAAGACTGACAAGTCAAGAATGATTTTGAGACAATAGATTACCCACTTTGGAAGAAATTAAATTAGATACTACACTGGTGATGGTTTTAATTTCTGAAAAGAGAATTCATTCTACTATTTTAATCAGAAAGGAATTTGTGGAAGTTATGTATAGCTGCCAGAACTGTGAAGAGAGTGGAAAAGGATTTAGATTGAGCTTTTACCAGAATGACTTCCAAAGCCACAGTGCAGAATTCAACCACTGAAGGAGATGCTGTTGCTACAGTCTGGAAGCTTCCAGATAGTAGGAAGCTTTTGCCATGGGTGCTATTCCAAAACTACAGCACCTCTGCCAGGATCTGCCCCAGTAGAATGGAAGCTGTGCTGCCTTTTTCTCCAGGTAACTCAAAGCTTCATGTGAGTTGTGTCTGCTTAGGTCTTTTAAAAAGTAGACACCAAGATGGAGTTAGAAGGACAGGAGATTTGTTGGGACACTGCATGTAAAAGATAAAGGGGGGACTTCCCTGGTGACACAGTGGTTGGGAATCCACCTGCCAACGCAGGGGACATGGGTTTGATCCCTGGCCCAGGAAGATCCCACATGCCGCAGAGCAACTAAGCCCATGCGCCACAACTACTGAGCCTGCGTGCCACAACTACTGAAGCCTGTGCGCCTAGAGCCTGTGCTCTGCAACAAGAGAAGCCACCGCAATGAGAAGCCCGTGCACCACAACAAAGGGTAGTCCCCGCTCTCCGCAACTAGAGAAAGCCCATGCACAGCAGAGAAGACCCAAGGCAGCCAAAAATAAATAAATAAAAAATAAAATTTTTTAAAAAAGATAAAGGGAAGAAGGAGCAGGAGCAGCAGGGAAAGCCTTCAGACTGTAATTTAGGTGTCACATCTGTGAAAAGAAAGGGAACAAGAAAGAAGATTGGGTAGAAAAAGCTTCAGACTGTGATGCAGCTTGGAGAAGGTCTTGGCTACTACAAGATTGCCCATGGAAGAGTTATTCTATGTGGGGAGAAATGGCCACACTCTAGTTTCCTCTTCATGCTCAGTCATTGGCTTGGAGCTGTGGCAGATTCTGAAGGCATCCAATTGGGGGACTCTCCATTACATCTGGAATCCTATCTTCAAGATAGTCTGCAATATAGGAAGACATACCAGAAGGGCATTGATATGAATGTTGATCCAGCTAATCTATAGAATCTATCTATAACAGACCCTTACCTCACACTATATGCAAACTAAATGTCAGATGGATTAAAGAGGTGCAGGTAAAAAACAAACCTATACAATTACTGGAAGAACATAAAGAAACTATAGGGACATATTTCTATAACCTTGGAATAGAGAAGTTCTTTTAAAGCAAAACACAAAATCTAGAAAACATAGAGACGTATTTTAAATTAGTTTTTAAAATTTATTTCCATGTTTTAAAAAGTAATAAACATTAACATACTTAATGGTGACAAATTAGATGCTTTTCCTCTAAGATTGGGAACAAGACAAGGATGTCCCTCTCACCAGTCTTATTCAATATTGTGCTGAAAGACCTAACTAATGCAAGAGGACAAGAAAAGGAAATAAGACATACGGAATGCAAAGGAAGAAATAAAACTGTCTTTGTTTGCACATAACATGATTGTCTATGTAGAAGGTCACAAAGAATTAATGAAAACTGGAAATAATATTGTGATTATAGCAAGGTTCAGGATACATGGTTAATATACAAAAATTAGTTACTTTCCTATATACCAGCAGTGAATAATTAGAATTTGATATTAAAAAGACAACACAATTTACATTAGCACAAGAAAGAAAGAAAGAAAGAAAGAAAGAAAGAAAGAAAGAAAGAAGAAAGAAAGAGAGAAAAAAAGACTTAGGTAGAAATCTACCAAAATATATGTAGGATATATATGAAGAAAACTACAAAACTTTAATGAAAAAATCAAAGAATATCTAAATAAATGAAGAAATATTTCATGTTCATAAATAGGAAAACTCAAAATTGTTAACATATTGGTTCTTCCCAATTTGATCTCTAGATTCAATGCAAACACAATCAAAATCCCAGCAAGTTATTTTGTGGATATCAACAAACTCATTCTGGGGCTTCCCTGGTGGCGCAGTGGTTGAGAGTCCGCCTGCCGATGCAGGGGACACGGGTTCATGCCCTGGTCCGGGAAGATCCCACATGCCGTGGAGCGGCTGGGCCCATGAGCCATGGCCGCTGAGCCTGCGCGTCCGGAGCCTGTGCTCCACAACGGGAGAGGCCACAACAGTGAGAGGCCCGCGTATCGCAAAAAAAAAAAAAACAAAAAAATAAAACCAAACTCATTCTAAAGTTTATATTAGAATGAGTGACTTCTCTGGTGGTCCAATGGTTGGGATTTCGCCTTCCAATGCGGAGACTGCAGGTTTGATCTGCAGGTTTGAGCTGGGATTCCACATGTCTCAGGGCCAAAGAGCTGAAACATAGAACTTAGAAGCAATGTTGTAACAATTCAATAAAGACTTTAAAAATGGTCCACATTAAAAAAACAAATCTTAAAAAAAAAAAAGTTTATATGGGAAGGTAAAAACCCAGAATAGCCAACATAATACTGCAGAAGGACAAAGTTGGAGGACTGATACTATATGACTTCAAGACTTACTGTAAAGCTATAGTGATCCAGGCAGTACGATGCTGATGAAAGAATAAATAGATCAATGAAACAGATTAAAGAGACCACAAATAGACCCATACAAATGTAGTCAAATAGACTTTGACAAAGGAGCAAAGGCAATGCAATGGAGTGGTCTTTTCAACAAATGGTACTGAAACAATTGGACATATTCATGCAAAAACAGTGCATCTAGAGACAGACCTTACACTCTTCACAAAATTAACCAAAAATGTATCATAGATCTAAATGTAAAACAAAAATTATAAATTTTCTAGAACATAACATAGGAGAAAATCTAGGTGACCCTGGGTTTGGCCATGATTTTTTAGATACAACACCAATCTCTGAAGGAAAAAATTGCTAAGTTAGACTTCATTAAAATTAAAAACTTCTGCTCTGTGAAGGATATTGTTAAGAGAATGAAAAGACAAGCCACAGGCTAGGAGAAAATCTTTCCAAAAGACATATTTCATAAAGGTCTTGTAGCCAAAATATACAAGAACCCTTAAAACTCAATAATAAGAAAACAACCAACCCAATTAAAAATTGGGCAAAAAATCTGAACAGATACCTCAACGGAGAAGACATACAGATGGCAAATAAGCTTATGAGAAGATGTTTAACATCATATGTCATCAGGGAATTTCAGATTAAAACAACAATGAGATACCAGTACACATCTATTAGAATGGCTAAAATCCAAAACACTGACAACATCAAATGCTAGTGAGAATGTGGAGACACAGAACACTCTCATTCACTGCTGGTGGGAATGCAATGTGGTGCAGCCATTTTGGAAGAGTTTGGTAGTCTCTTGCAAAGCTAAACATAGGTTACTGTACAATTCATCTTCCCCAATCCTAGATATTTACCCAAATGAGTTGAAGATTTTGTGCAAAAACCTGCACACAAATATTTATAGCAGCTTTGTTCATAACTCAATAACTGGAAACAACCATGTTATCTTTCAATAGGTGAGTGGATAAACAAACTATGGTACATCCTTACAATAGAATATTATTCAGTGATAAAAAGAAAGAAGCTATCAAGCCATGA